AACCCTAAACCCCCTAAAGCCCTAAACCCTAGACCCTAAACCCTAAAGCCCTAAACCCTAAGCCCTTAAAGCCCTAAAGCCTAAGCCTTAAACCCTAAACCCTAAAGCCCTAAACCCTAAACCCGTTCCTTTCATTCCTAAAAAAGTTTCTCTAAGGGATCCTTTCAGGTTCAGGCCTTTAGGGTTTCACGAGTTTGGGGCATTGGGGGCTTTTAGGGTCTAGGGGTTCAAGACTAGGGTTTTAGGGTTTAGGGCTTAGGATAGGATTTTTGTGGGCTTACGGGCTCCAGGGTTTAGGCTTTGGGGTTTAGGATAGGATTGCGGGCTTGAGGGTTTAAGGGCTTAGAGTGCTAGGGTTAAGGGTTCCAGAAGGGCGTCATGGGTGAAGCGTTTGCAGGGTTGCAACCCTAAACCCTAAACCCTAAACCGTGGGCCTACAAGGGTTCTGTAGGCCGGATAACCCGGAGAGAATGATTTCCGAAGCTCTACGAAACCCCACGTCGATTTAGGGTTTAGGGTGTGGGGTTTAGGGTTTAGGGTTTAGGGTTTAGGGTTTAGGGTGTAGGGTTTAGGGCTTGGGGTGGTTTAGGGTGTAGGGTTTAGGGTTTAGGGTTTAGGGTTTAGGGTGTAGGGTTTAGGGTTGAGGGTTTAGGGCTTAGGGTTTGGGGCGTAGCAGCCGGCCCTAGATTAAAAAACCAAAGTTTGCCTAGGAGTTGCATGCCTTTTCCTCTTGTCATCTGTCTGAAAACCAGGACGGCTAATGAACGGTCTACGAACAACTGAACCAGTACCTCTTCTCGTCCATCGCCATTGCAAGCCATAATCTTGGCGACGACTGCTACTACTTTTATCTGGCCCGAATAAGATGTCTAATTGACTAGACATGTTTAGCTGCAAAGTCAATTCGGATACTAGTTCCCAGACCACCAAAAGGATCCAAAAAACACATCCCGAAAGGGGTTCCTATAAAGTACCCTTTAGTTGGGGTCCCAAATTTGGGGGATGTACTTTCTAGATCCTCCCGGCGGTCTGGGTTGGGGTCGGCTACTTGGGGTCATGGATCTCCAAGTCTTGGACGTCGTTGTGGACTCCAGCCACACATGGACGGCAAATATCCTGGAGTCTCCTCAAATCCTCGCCTGAAAGTGTAGGCGACACCGTGCTGAGAACATTTGTGCACAGTAAAATGGAGAAAGTGATACCACCAGTCCGGCAGCTCAGCACAACGACAAGCTCTATGGCGAGCAGCTTCCTCCGGTTTTCGCAGTTATCCTCAAAGCGCTTTTCGCTTCGAGCACCGATGAAGACTGGTGCGCATGGTCGAGCATGAGACTAGACAGGCAACTAATGTAGGGGCCTTAATAATTAGAATAGGGTTTTGGGTTATTTTATGCTATGATGATAAATAAGGAACCCCCAAAATAGCATGTGCAATTATTTAGGCTTCTATATTAACTAGGTTCCCCAGTAGACCACTAACAATAAGGGCACCCTTTTCCTACTCTTTGGGCTTACTAAGCGGCCCCAAAAGCAAAAAGGGCAAAAGGGTACTACTGGGGACCCTAGTAGTAAATCGTAGCCTTGCTCCTAGTCTTCAGTCCCAGACCACCGGGAGGATCCCAAAAAAAAGGGTTTAGGGTTTAGAGTCTAGGTTTAGGGTTTAGGGTTTAGGGTTTAGGGTTTAGGGTTTCGGGCCCAGACTACAGGGAGGATCCCAAAAATAGAAGCCCTGAGAGGTTCCTATAAAGCACCCTTTAGTAATTAGGGCCCCCAATTTCGGGGATCTACTTTTTAGATCCTCCCACTGGTCTGGGTTCGAAGGTTTATGGGGTTCAGGGGCTTTTGTGAAGCGTCTAGGGATCACGGCCTATAGGGTTTAGGGTTTAGGGTTTAAGGGTTTGGGGCTTAGGGTTTCGGGCTTTAAGGGTTTGGGGCTTAGGGGTTTTAGGGTTGAAGGGTTTAGGGTCTGGGGTCTAAGGGTTTTGGGGGTGCGGGGTGAGGGTAGGGAGCTTTCGGGGCTCACGGCAGATCAGTGCTAGTAATGGAGGGGCCTTAATCATTAGAATAGGGTTTTGGGGGGCCATTATACTTTAATAAGGAACCCCCCAAAATAGTATTGATGATCACTTATAGGCCCCTATAGTACTCCGGTGGTGCTGGCGCGAACACTGAATTATTCCCAATAGTGAGTATATTTCTCAGTGTTCCATATCCTCATTAAACTATAATGCACCCCAAAACCCTGCTTTCACTAATGATGATGAAGGCCTCTATACAAAACCCTATCGAACTCTATTGTCTATAACGGAACCCGTATAAATATGGACTTTTGTAAATCGAACCCTGTGAGGAAGCCTGTTACAACTATACAGGTCTTCTTAGATTCTTCCCCCCGTAAACCCTAAACCCAGAACAACAAACCCTAAACCCTACACCCGAAACCGATCCATTTTTTGGATCCTCCCGGTGGTCTGGGAAGGGGCTCCAACATGCCTTGATTATGATTACGGATTTTCTGAATTCGGGTTTAGGGTTAAGAGGGAAGATCCCTACTACAGCTCAGTGAAGAAGATGGACGAATGTCAGGCCCTGGTCAACAACAAAACTCCCTTTAGGGTTTAGGGTTTGGGGTTTAGGGTTTAGGGTTTAGCAATCAGGAAGAGAACTTGGATCACGGGTTTGTTCACGGGGGGCCGGCATTCGGGGAGCTCTAAAACTCAGTGCAATTCGTCATGACCACCTGAATTCAAGGGTATGCCCCATGAAGTACGGTTGATGATACAAACGCTGCATTACCGAATAGACCATATTCCCAAACTTTAGGGCCCTAAAGGTAATGCAGGATTTATTAAATCATCAATTTATTTTATAGGTACCTGGGCCCAAGTGTAAAACTTGGATGAAGGCTTTCTTGTTCAAGTCTGACCCCCCTAAGACTCCTTTACAAGTTTACAACTCTAATGAAAGGGCCTTTAAAACGAGACTAGGGTTGTGGGGCTCCTTTATAGTGTAGTTATAAAATAAGGAACCCTGAAGAATAATGTAGGTACTTATCTAGGCCCCTATATTAGACCCTCAACTTTACCTAACACTACCCCTCGCGACAGGAACCCTCATACACCCTTATACGGATCCTGACAAGAACCCTTACAGAACCCTTCCAGAAACCCCAATGCCAACCCTGATGCTGTCCCTTATCATAACCTTTATGAGAGCCCGTATCTTATGGCATCCCTTACTTCCAGAAAAACCACTGAACAAACCCTAGGACTTAATGTAGGGGCCTCAAAAATTAGAACAGGGTTCTGGGCTCCTTCATAGTATAGTTATAATAAGGATCCCCCCCCCCAAAAAAAAAAATATATATATATATATATATTCTTCTTTCGGATGGTGCAAAGTCTGGTTAAGACGTACCACTAGCAGCGAATTCAGGGTGAAACGAGAGAAAGAGCGCAGAGCCGTCAGCCATGTTAGCTGTATGCTCCAGCCACTCAGTAAAATAGCCGCCGCGCGAGCGGGGGAACTCAAAAGAGACATGACAAGGCCGCCCAAGTCCAGAGAAGTCAAAGGCCGCGGAAATCCAAGTGAGGGCAGATTCCAGCCAAGCCCGGTGTAACCTCTGTTGACGAAGGGCACAAGAGGGCACATCCCAGAACGGAGAAGAGACAATAGGGGGCCCGGGGATCGTGATAGCCAAGCCAAGGAAGGAGGTCAGAGGCAGAGAACCCACGTGGAAGTCGACGCTAGTCCAACTGTCGATAGCAGGGAAAGCGCCCGGCCAGCCCGTCCTAGCAGCTGAATCTCCGACCTGCAAACCAACCCCACGGAGAGAAGCCGATCCAAGTCGCCGGGGGACGAAACAAGGCCTGAAATCGGCGAAGTCGACGGCGTCAGTGGTGTCGGCGGCAGCTTGCGTGACCGCAGAGGCACGATCGCAGAGGAGGCTCACGTCCCAACAGAGAAGAACGTCCTCAGCCTGAACCTTCATGCTTCCGGCGGGCAGTTCACTGATCCAAACTCGGAGTGTGCTAGCAAGCAGTTCGAAAGGCTCAAAGACCCCGGAAACTAGACCAAAGATGTGCTCATCGTTCGCAACAACATTCGCCCTCAGAAGCGCAAGTAACTCAGGGCTGAAGTCGGGACCAATGTGACGCGCCTCCTCACGAAAAGTACCAGGTACAAACCCGGCCTGAACCGGGCCCTCAGGGAGAAGGAGAGGGGGTAGCAGAGCCGGAGAGCCGTGCACCACAGCGCGGCAACACTCACTGGCGAACTGGAGGTGACGAACAAGCCGGCGCTGCTGCGCAAAGACAGCACCACATGCCTGACACCGTACTCCAATCCCATACCTCCGAGAGCGTGCCCGGTAACCGTGCGATCTGGCCGCATGCGCAGACCAAGATTGGAAGTCCGCAAAAGCAATTTTGCAGCAAGCGCAGGCGTGTGAAGCCGCAGTGACCTCAACACAGGGGCGCGGCAGAGGAGCCCAGCAGGCCCGTACACATCCCTCCATGTCCGCAGTAGCTACATGGCGCAGCCAGTGCCAAGTCGTGGCCCTTTTTATGAGTCCACGCCATTGTCCCGGAGCGGAGAACATCATTTCCCTCCAGGAGGGCCAGTCGAGCCTGGGGTCCCCTAAACCCGAAGTGTGCTTAACCGCAGAGAAAAGCCAGTCGCAAGCGGAAAGAAAGGCGGCGCACGACTTAGGCGCATGCTGGAGCAGGGCCCATGCTGCCCTAGGCCCATTACGCATAAGCTGTCCCAAGAAACGTAGTCGCTCGACCTGCAGCAAGTCGAGGGGGGAGGGGATGCCAAGTCTCGCGACCATCCTGGCGCGACTGATGCGTTGGTCAGCTGCGCGGGGAACGCGTAGAAGACGCCGATACAGTGCGAAAAGACCCTGCTCATACAAGTTCCAACTGGAACAGCACAGGAGAGGCCAAGCACCCGAGCCCGTGAGTAGGACGGACAACACATGTGTGCGAAACAGGGTGACTCTCTTGGGAAGGGAGATGGGCCGCGCACAAAATACCTTGGCCTGGCCTTCTTTGAAGGCGGCACGCGCCAACGCCAGCTTGCCACGAATCTCCGGCAGCATTAAGCCGCTAAAGCAAATCGTAGCCCCAAGATGCCGGTAAGTGGCAACTGCCTCCAGTGTGACCGGTGTGGCAGTATCACGGAGGACCGTGAGGCAGCCCCGCCTTCGCGTATAGACCTGGTCTCTGACGCGCTTAGCTCCAACACCCGTGGGGCAGAGCATAGCCGCTGTTTTCCTAGGACCGATGTTGGCGGACAAGCCATGGTTGGCAAGGCAGTCTAGCGTCACCCCGGCAATGTGCGTGACAGCGCGGGGGATCTCAGCAGCCTCGGCAGCTATCACGCAGGACGCCAAGTCGTCCGCATACACCAGGTCCTGCACCACCTCCTCACAGGGTGCGGAACGGGCATCAGGCAGAAGGACGAGCTCGCGCTGACCACTCCAAGGCACTCGCGGTTGCCAGCCGGTGCCGGCAAAGTTCCCGCGACGTTGTAGCACCCGCGCAAACAGAAGCGAAAACACCGAGTCCGCGAGGCATCCGCCGGGGCGTGTTCCACGTGTGGTCAGGACGAGGGAAGAGTCGCCCTGTAAGGCAAACCATGTAAAGCTATGCAGCTCGCGAACAAGGCGCCGGAGCAACTCGGGGCATCGAGCGTCATGTAAGATCGGGGCTTCGGTTGCATATGCCGTCAAAATCTGAAGGTCCTCAGGTGTCAAGCCAAGAGAGGACACAACCTGCGGGAAGGGTGTAGGTGTAAGGCCGGTGCCCATTACCACCTCCCGGACGACGGCGTAGTAAGCGGATATCAGATCCGAAAACAGAATGCCGGACGACAAGCCTCGATGCTTGGCGTGCTCAAGAAAAGTGCGACTGCAGAAAGCACCAAAGACATGCGAGGAGCCCTTTTGGCCGCCGAAATGAAGGGCGCCCATCGACTGGTTCACCTCACGCATGACGAGCCCACGGAGCGATTTGTGAAGCACCTTCTCTAGCACAGATTGTGCCAAGATTCCCCTCTGGGAGCCGCAGGACAGCTTGTCGGGCGCGCCAGGCTTATCTATGTGAAACAATACGCCCCCCTTAAGTCCTATCGGTTCAGCTCCGTATACGAGGGCTTTCAAGACGACCGGCCAAAAACAATTCAGTCATGCGGCAGGCAAACCTTTTGCAGATGCTAGAAGGGAGTCCGTCCTGCCCAGCCGACTTGCCAGGATGTACACTACGAAATGCATCCATAACAGAAAGGAAGTCGGGCATCTCCCGCGGGTCAAGAGATTCGGCAGGCACAGCTGATGCCTGCCAGCGCAAGCCCTCCTGAGCCAGCTCCGAAGGAGAGCAGGACCTGCCCCCTTCCATGGCGGAGAAATGCTCCCTCCAGCGGAGCGTGATCTCATCGTGAGAGCCACATAAAGTGCCGTCACCTTTCCGTAGTTGAGGCAAGGGAGCCGGCCCAGCCTTACGATATCTTTTGGGGCGAAGCATCCGCTTGAGAGCAGCATGAGCCTGTCCCGGGCCGCTAACCTCCACCTCGTCCGCAAGGGATTCCAAATACGCCCGCTTATCAGCGCGGCAGCGTTTGCGCAAGGCCTTGCCTGCTTCGCTGAGACGCTCAACCAGGAAGCCAATAACCGCACGCAGCCGACGAAGCCAAGAGCCCCTGAAGAGCTGGGCGAAAGTGTCACAGGCAGAGGTCCAAGCAAGGAAGCTACAGCGCAGCCTAGCAAGGGCTAACGCTTCGAGGCGGCTGCGTAAGGCATGTCTCGTGTGCGCGACCAGCCGATGAAGATCTCCCGCGTCATCGGAGAGGAAGCACTGCCTCATTCGTCTAGCACGGAGTGGAAAGGCAGCAAGAAGCTCCTCATGCAGGTAGCCCGTTAGCTTAGCCGCGTGGTCGTTGATGTTGGCATCCCATGGTATACTAGGAGCAGCATCGAGAATACGAAGCATGGTCTCTTGGTTCTCCGGTGCAAGTATGGCAGCCCCATCGATGCGGCCACGCTTACTGGACTTACAGCTGCGGACTTGGAGCAGCGTGACACGAGCAACCGCAGCCAAATGGTCGAGCACACCATGTCCACAGACAATACTAGGCTCCACCCAAGCCTTCGTCTGGCAATGACGCCATGCCATAGGTAGCAGCACAAAGTCGCTTCTCTGAAGCTCCTTGGATTGTTTTTGCAAAAGCGTGCCACTAGGGCCGAACGCACAACTTTCCATGGTGGAGGGTATCCAGGCATCGAGATGGCGGAGGAGGCCATGGAGGGCTTCACCTCCGTCATCCTCAACGTCGGCGTGCCAACCGCCGATGTGAGCGCTCTCGTTGGACCCGATGCGGCCGTTGGCATCCAACAAGCCCAACCACAAACCATCTTGGCAAAAACTCCTGCAGAGATTGGTGGTCTCCTCCCACCACTGCGTTCTAAACTGAGCCGTGTGGGCTCGATGCGGTCCGTGGGCAGCAATGATGTAGAGGCAGATCTGCATGAAGTTGACTCTCATGATGAGCCTGGTAGGCGAGGCGTGCAGCACTATGGCAGTGTGGGGCGGCCATGGTGCCCCGACCGCTATCCAGACTTCTATACCGTGGCTTCGGCGTTCCGTGCACCCCGAGCAATATCTGACAAAGTCGGACCGTCGGGAGGTTCCCGCTGGAGTGCGCGCCTCTTGTATGCCTGCGAGAAAAGCCCCATTCTCTCGCAGGGAGCGGGCGAGCATAGCGACACGGCCAACGGCTCCGTACAGGCCGGATCCCTCGTCGTGGGCTTCACCTGTGGGTTCCAGAAGGGAAAGAGCGTTGAAAGTAACACAGGCGAACTCCAAGCAGCTGCTGCGCCCAACAGGTGCACATGAGGCCTCAAGTGTGCATGTAAAGGGATGCATGATCGCCTCAGGGCTCAGCTGAGGGGCGGGTTGTGTCATGCCCCAAGAGAGTAGGCCATCAGCCAATCGTGGGAGCCCGAGTGGGTTCTTTTGTGTCATGCATACGTGTGGCAGCCATCGAAAGGCAACCCCTCCCTCGGCAAACCAAGGAACCAAAGGAATCTGAAAATCACCCAGAGAGCAACGACCCCTTGAGCCTATCGCAGCGAGACCGTCAGCAAGCTCGTTGCTGCAATCCCCGCTGTGTCCAGCCACATGCTGATACCAGACACGGTCTTGCAGGCGGAGCCGCAGGGCAACATGCAAGCTAGCAACGGCCTGCCCCAATGGGTGACATTTAAGCTGCTCAGTGCCCTCGGCCCCGTGCAAAGCACTCATGTTATCGGCCCGTATCAGTAGGCCTGTGACACAGGGAAGCTTGAATCCCAAGACTGCCGCCCAAAAAAGGCCCGCCAGCTCGGCAAGGTAGGGGTCAGGCGCACCAAAGGCATTGCCAATAGCCTCAGCGAAGGGCGAAAGGGGCCCATATATGCAGCCAACGAAAGAGCCAGGGACGCGATAATCATCGATGGAGATCGCACTAAGAACAACTGCCCATCCCGCTGCGCCGGATCCTGGCGAAAAGGAGCCGTCCGACGTCAAGGTCAACATCTCACGCGGGCCGAGAGATCGACCGACAGAACCTGCCCGGACCCAATTGGCAAACCTGCCGGGGTCAGGCACGCCATGAGGGGGCCCAGCCAAGGAGCGAAAGGGGGCATGGCTAGTAAGCGAAGCAATAAGTCCGTCGGAGCACGGAATTAGACATTGGCCAACATCCAGGTCAAAGAACTCGACACCACTCTGCTCCAACCTCGCCCTGGGCGCCGATATCGCATCAGCCAGTGAAAGAACACGCGGCGCAGGAGAGGGATCGAGACGGGCGGCACCCGCTTTCTGGAGGGCATCGAAATGCTCAGTAAGTGTAAGAAGAAGGGCTGCAGCCTCGAAGAAAACCTCGCCAAGCGACCTTTCAACACTCTCTTCCAGCAGCGTTTGCAGACGAGTGTGCGAACAATAGTGCCGGACCTCAAGCAAGGGGTCCAGCACAAGGTTACGACATGGAGTGGGTATGTGAGGCCGGTATCCAACCCGCACGCTACCAAAAACCTGAGGTGATCCACTGTGGGCTGGGAGGAAAGGGGTGAACTGGCGCTGTCCTGCTGGAAGGACGTCTAGGTCATCACGACCAGCCCACATTTCAACTCTACCAGAAACCCAATTGAGATCAACTGCGCCTGTGGCGTGCAAGACGGGCTCCGCACCAACGGGGTGCGGACGAAGATGCATAGCTTTTCCGGGCTGAGCGTTGCACAGTAGGCTCAGGAGGCCTAGCCGCCAAGGGACCATGAAGGAACCGAGACCAACCGCACCAAGCAGGGAAGAAACAAAGTGCGCGAAAGGTCCAAAAGGTGCGAAAGACGCGGGGGCAGAGCTCAGATGAGCTGGGTCGGCAGCTTCAAAGGCTGTAGCAGGCTCGCGAGCAGGGCTGTAAACGCGGGCACCTGCCCCGTTTCGCGGGGACCTGCTACGATCTTGCCTTCCTTGATGAGGAGACGGTGGGCCTTCATCCTCCGGATCGGAGTCCTCGTCGCTGCTATCATGCATGGTTGGCGTAGCTGCAGAGCCATCAGCCGAGCCCGGAGGCAAGTACTCCACAATCAGGACTTGTCCGTCGGCGACCGCGATCCAAGGGTCCCCTTCTCGAAAGAAGAGAGTGCCGCCCTGAATATAAGGACGTAGCCCGTGAGGGCATCCAATAGCAAAGCGATCAAGTAGCAGTCGCAGGCGAAGACTGTCTCCATGGCAAACCTGCCACTCCAGACCCCTAAGGAGCGGACGAAGGTCAAAAACGACAACGGCCTGTATCGTAGGCCGGCTAGTAGGACGAACAACCAGGGTAGTGACCACCAGCACAGCGCAGCACCCGCAACCGAGGTCAGCAAAATTAGAAATGTGCGGCATAGTGCCCCGTATAGTCAGCAAGTGAGGCTCTTGTCCGACCAGGGAGGCCAGCTCAGTGCGCAAAAGAACACCAGAATTCGCCGGCACAGGCATACGAAAGGACTCAACGTCTGAGAGGACCCAGAAACCCAGGGGCTCGCTGTCCTCAGGTATATAGCTGGCATCCCACTCATCAGCGCTGGCCAGCATATCCTCAAGCGGCAGCCCGTGGACAAAGGAACTGCCGTAAGGAACGATAGCAAAGAGGTCCCCCGTTTGCAGGCGGACCACCTGTCCTTGGGAGAGGGCCCAATGAGCACGGCTGACGTAGACATGGACCTGCGCTCCACTACCTAGGCCAGCGACCACTAACAGGTCCTCCCGACGCATTGCAGGAGATATAGGCACTGCAAAGAACTTACCGCTGTACGCGCGACAGTCACAGAGGACCACTGGCACATTGTCGGCCCAAGCAGGGAGCCCAATCAGCACGGCAAACTCCAAACAGAGCTGGGGTTCAATTGGCACCAAGAGAGGGAAACGAGACCTGAGGTGAGGTTCCCTGTGCATTTGCACTTCCGCAAGCGCATCGTCCACCTCCGCTGGGGCCAGTAGCGAAACTTCAACAATGTCCAGTGCATGGCCAGGCATGAGAACGACAAAGGAGGCGTCAAAAGGAGTTCGCTGTGCGTCCTCCTGAACCCCCGTAGGAGGGGTAACAGATAAGGCGGGAGCATCAAGATGTCGAGGGCTACGACCCCATGTCTCAGAACTCCGAAGGTGCTCCAGTATGGGCTCCGCGGCCTCAGAAGAGGTACGCATGAAATCGCTCAGTCGAGGATGGTCCGGGCCTTTAGAAAACCAGGGTCCTCTCCAAGTGCTACTATGTTCCAGGGACTTACTGCCTGCGTCCCAGGCCGGCATACCAATCCTCCAAGCACACACAACCAGGTGCCGGCAGTCAGAGGCAAAGCGACCCGGCCTAGCGTTGCAACCTGCGAAGAGCGCAAGGTAAATGTGAGGGTACATAAAGGGCTTGGCAGCCGCAAAGTCAGGGCCGATGCAAGGCGAATCAACAGTGGAGGGACCGCAACCACCTCCATTATCATCCTCAGAACCTCCGATGTCGGAGGAATGGTCCTCATCGTCCTCCATGTCAGAGTCCCCTGGAGGAAAGGAGTCCCCATCATCAGGTCCGCCGGGGTCATCGATTGCGCCTGGCAGGGGCCCCTCCGCAGGGCGCAAGCAAAACCTGAGAACGCAGGAGTGCTCAACAAAAACCTCGTCCCCAACCTGTGTGCCACCAACAACGTAGCACTCAACACCGTCCGGCAGGCGGAACTGGGCAAGAGCGAAAACACTAGGAAGGTGAACAGCAAGCGAATGAGAGTGGAGCGGGAGAGGCTTGAGTCCAAAGACCCGCAGGTCACACAGGACAAAGATATCACGTCTCTGACTGAGGACGGGGGACCGGTGATCGAACCTTGGCAGATCGATTACATGAATCACCGCGCAACAGGCACTCCCTTGCACATCAAGATCCTGGATGCCACGGTGCACATGCGTAGAAACAGCATCCGCGTCAGCCCGAACAAGGCGGCACACCGCGGCGCTAACAGCTTCACCCGCGGAGTGGTGCTGGCAGAGAACAAAACGCTGATTGTCGTGGCAGACGCAGAGACAGGGCGTAGACAGCTCGTGAGGAATCTGGTGCAGGGGCCCCCACACAGCGTCGGCCGCAAAGAGTTCACTGAGGGACCCAGGCGTGGGAGGGGGAGTGCCGACACGAGTAGCAGTGATCGTCTCACCAGGGTTCAGTGCAATCGGTGGGCCATGGGGGCAGGGGCTTTGCTGATTGCCAATGTAAATGTTGAGATCCCTATCGTCAAAAGAAGTAAGCGGAAGAATGAAGTCATAAAGATCTCTATACCCGATCCCATTCGGCAGAACAGTGGAGAAATAGTGACCCCCCACCGTCGTGAGGTCGATTATGACGGGAACGTGGCCGTGAGGACCCAGCCTCGACAGGCAGCTGGAGTAGACCAAAACGCTGGCATAAGAGCCAAAACGCTGTGGCACTATGGCAACAGCAGAGTCGAAAATGCCCCCGTAGAGAGACGTTCCCAAGCTGAGCACACCAGCAAGTAAGTCATCAGGCGTAGCCGTCCTCTCAATCCACATCGCCCACGTGGTCTTCTGAAAGTAAGGGGCATGCACCACAATGCCCAGCCAGTCGGGCGAGGGCTCATGAGCCGCCACTCCTGCAGGCAGGGGCAAGCGCAGGGCTCTGGGTTGCTCCAATGGGATCGTATTATGCCCGCTCGCACTGAAGGTAGCAGGCCACTCGCAGTCCTGCATCTCAAGATTAAGGAGGGGCCCGGGAAGCGGATTGGCTACAGCCGAGGAAGCAGCATAGCCACTCGGTCTTACAAGGTCCCCTTCAACAACATGATCAAAGGAGAGAGGGACCACAGCAGGATGAGACCATGAAGGGTCCTCAACAGGGTGAAGTGCCGGAACAGCTACGTCGGGCGACATAGCAAGCGCACCAACAGACAGCAGCAGGTGCCATCGCCCTAGTGGCACAAAGGTCTGCCATTCGACAGACTCCACGCGTGGGAAAAACCCCAAGATCCAGGCGGCGAAAAGCCACGAAGAAACACCACGCGTAGACAAAGCACGAGTTCTGCCACGGCCGGTAACACGAGGCACGTGTCGTGTCCAACGCAAGGGGCCAGACAGAGGGCTGGCAACCGAGCCAAGGGCGAGAACCGCAGAAAACCCAAGCAGCCTGGAAGGCGGTCTGCGAGCATGCCCAAGAGGCGAGCTGTCAAGGCGAAGGCCCAGGCACAAGGCTCTCCAGAGAGAGGAGGCAAAGCACAACGCAATAATAGCCAAAAGAGAGCCCGCCTGACCGGAGATCCACAACATCAGCGCCTCACAAGACGCACACCAATCGGGAAGGGCGACAAAATGGAAGGCTGCAGACAGCAGCATCCAAGCAATCACCAGCACAGCCCAGAAACGAAAAACCAGAAGACAAAGGCGTGCCGAGAGGGAGCGCAAGAACCCCAAGCGCAAGAACTCTCGAAGGGCAGCTTCGGCAACAGAAGGGGCCGGTGCAGTCACTTCCAGAAGGGGGAAGGCGCAAGGTCTGCGTCGGAGGTCAGCAATCCAGAGGGCAGCACTGATCAAGAGTCCCCCAACTAGAAAGCCCACTGAGATGCATGAGACGCGACCACAAGCAGCAACACGCGGTTGGCTGAACCGCAAAGGCACGGAGCGGGCCTTATCACATGCCGGCGAAACCAGGGAACCAGGGAACCCAGGGCACAAAATCAAAACTGATCCAGGATAGGGGCAGCCAGAAAGCGAGGCGCCTTGCCAATCCAAAGAAAGATGACGAGAAAGCTGACGGGAACTGTCAACAACCCAAGTCACTGTACATAGTGAAAAACAGGGTGTGAAAATTACACCGTCTACACTGAAGAGCTGCTCACACACTACGTCATGTAGCTCGGGCCGTCCCAAGACCTTACACCCGCCATCAGGCTGATGAACACAGAGATAGCTCCTCCCCAGGGGAGCAAATCTGTGAACATTACCGTCAGGGACCAGGACAGGGACAGCCTGACGCCATGACTGATAAGGGCAGTCATTCCACGAGGGAGTTCAAGTTCCCGACATCCAGCATCGACAGGTCTTCCTCGTCGGAATCGTCGTCGTTCTGGATCTCCACCCGACGCGTACCAGAGTCCTCTCCCATCTGGCCGGTGTCCACAGCAGCAAGCCGCTCCGGTGCCGGGGCCTCGGAGGCTCCAGCGACTGATGTGACAGGAAGGCCCCTCGGCGAAGCATCCACGCGAGCCTCTTGAGAAAGACTCGCTCTTTTGGCAGCCAATCGCTCCGAGATTGCCTTCGGCGGCGATGTGGCATGTGGTACTTCCAGAGGTATCTGCTTGACTGGCCTGCGAACTGCAGAGGGTTTGGGTCGCTGATGCTTGTCCATCTCCCCAAAGACTGCAGCGATCCCTGCAGACAGCATCGGGTGCTCTTCCTGCACCTCCGTCGTAAGGCCTGGTCGGCTCGGCGAGGTCAGGTAAGGGTCCGCCGATAGGCCAGGCGGGGAAGCTGCCAAGGAGGTAGTCGGGGTTGCTGGCGTCGGAGTCATAGCCGGGAAAGTCGTCGCTCGCCTCGGCGGTGTCTCCGGCGGGATAGCGGCGGTTACTCGTTCCCGCCGCTGTTCCTGCAAGGCCCTGCGCAGCACCGCATCCGAGGCTTCGGACTCCTTCTGCTCCGCGCGCCAACCCTTGACAAGGGTCTCCCACTCCGCTTCTTGTTCCGCAGTGGGTCTGGCCGAGTGATCTTGTTCTCCAAGAGCCGCCGCTCTCAAGCGGGCCCGGGACTCGTCCTGGTTCTGCGTAGCCGAGTGGAGCTCCGAGTGGAGCTTGTCGAGGTCGCGCTGATGCCTCGTAAACTCGTGGATATATATTGGTAACTATTCACCCTAAACCCTAAACCCTA